TTTTTTTTTTTTTTTTGTAGTATATATACACAGGTTTTAATTCCACAAATTATGGACTGCTAAGCAGTGTTGCCATCTCAAACTTTTAACCACAGACCATATGCATCAGTCGCACCAAACAAAATCTGGGGCAGCATCACAACCCCCCACAACCCCCTGTCCCATATCATTCTCCTCTGACCTCATAATAAACCCCTCAGACACACTCCTCCATAAACACTCCCCTCCCCATTGTCTGTAGTTCCAAATATATTTACTTCTTTCCTCAAAGATAAGGACTAAACGTTCTGTTGTCTGACTTACAGTAACCTGATTTTAGTCATTTAATACTTATTTTATTTTTAATGAAGTTTTTTCACGACACCACTCACCATTGTTGGCATTAGAGAAAATGATCATTTAATAGTGATGTTTTTACTTACTGTGATTAATTAAAAACATTGAAAAAAAGGCATCACATACAAAGAAAATTAAGAGCTGGAAACTGTAAGGACTATAACTCCATTATGTAAAGCATTTGTACTTTAAGGAATAACATCCTGTTGCAAAGCGAAGCTGATGAAGAGCTATACCTTTAAAAATAGCAATATATTTCCACCTAGTGGTCAATTAAAACATTGCAATATTTTATTTTTTTCAGTTTTTCAACAAGAAAATAAGCATATTATTATAATTATATTTAGCTTGAATTGTTTATAAATCGCTATTGTTGTTTTTAATGTAATTATTTAATTTACAGGCAATACTGTCTGTAAATTACTGTCAAAAGAATGGCGTCAGCAAGTTATTTATTTTTAAAAGAAATAATATTTTTATTCAGCAAGGTTGCATTAAACTGATCAAAAGTGACAGAGACATTTATAATGTTACTAATTATTTCAAATAAATGCTGTTCTTTTCAGCTTTCTATTCATCAAATATTTCCACAAAAAATATTAAGCATATTAAACTATTTTCAACATTGCAAATAATGATTCTTGAGCACCAAATCTGCTATTAGAATTATTCTAAAAGGATCATGTGACACTTAAGACTGAAGTAATGGCTACTGAAAATTCAGCTTTCCATCACGGGAAAAAATTACTTAAAAAAAATGTATATATTAAAATAGAAAAGTTAATTTTAATTTGCAATTATATTTTACTATATTACTGTTTGACTGTATTTTTGATAAAATAAATGCAGCCTTGATGGGCATAAGATACTTTTTCAGAAAACATTTTTAAATGTTCCTGACAACTTTTGAACAGTAAAAGTCAATCTGAA